CATCAAGCTCCTCATATTGCTGGTATGAGCCTGCTCACACCGCTGGTATCAAGCTACTCATACTGTTGGTATGAGCCTGCTCACACCGCTATTATCAACCTGCTCATACTGCTGGTATGAGCCTGCTAACACCGCTGGTATCAACCTGCTTATACTACTGGTATGAACCTGCTCACACCGCTGGCATCAAGCTCCTCATATTGCTGGTATGAGCCTGCTCACACCGCTGGTATCAAGCTACTCATACTGTTGGTATGAGCCTGCTCACACCGCTATTATCAACCTGCTCATACTGCTGGTATGAGCCTGCTCACACCGCTGGTATCAACCTGCTCATACTGCTGGTATGAGCCTGCTCACTCCGCTGGTATCAACCTGCTCATACTGCTGGTATCAACCTGCTCATACTGCTGGTATCAACTTGCTCATACCGCTGGTGCCAAGCTGCTCATATTGCTGGTATCAACCTGCTCATACTGCTGGTATCAACCTGCTCATACCACTAGTGTCAACCTGCTCATACTGCTGGTATCAACCTGCTCATACTGCTGGTATCAACTTGCTCATACCGCTGGCATCAACCTGCTCATACTGCTGGTATCAACTTGCTCATACCGCTGGCATCAACCTGCTCATACTGCTGGTATCAACTTGCTCGTACCGCTGATATCAACCTGCTCATTCTGCTGGTATCAACCTGCTCATACCGCTAGCGTCAACCTGCTCACACCGCTGGTATCAACCTGCTCACACCTCTGGTATCAACCTGCTCATACCGCTGGTATCATCAAGACATACAGACAGAATCTTCAGTTACCGATCTTACTGGCGCTTTCGGTGTCTTTGACGTACCTTCCTCACGCAGGTTGTGTCAACGAAGAATTTCTCTCAGTACTGATCTATGTCACGCCTCTGACATCGTCCCGTCAAACACCAAACATTTCCCTTTACTTTCTCCATCCCTGTCTCCCTCCCTGTCTCCCTCCCTGTCTCCCTCCCTGTCTCCCTCCCTGTCTCCCTCCCTGTCTCCCTCCCTGTCTCCCTCCGTGCCTCCTTCCCTGCCTCTCTCCCTGCCTCCCTTGCTTTCCCAGTACTGACACTAACAAGGTTCTGAAGCTTCACAGCTCAGGTTGATAGATTTCATTACTCCACGTATGTAACCAATAATGTGAGACAATATAACAGAATATAATAAATTTATGAAACAGAAGTTAAATAGCTACACACTGCTAGTGTGCCTAACTTTGATAAATAATAATGGTAGCAAACAATACTGACCTGAGTGGGCTGGGGCACCAATAGTCGCAGTAGTCTAGTGGTCGGCCGGGCATGTCCTCCAGGCTGGGGTATGGCTCGTATTTCCGGCGAGGCTTGCACTTGCTCTTGTACAGGATGAGAGTAACCGTAAAGATGAAGAAGAGGGCCAGAGTAACGGCGGTTCGAATCCCCGTCCACACGTCATAGGTCGAGTAGAACTCCTGTTGAGAAGCGTAGATTTAGAAAGCTATTCCAGCCATCATTTTAACGTATTCCAGGTTTAGGGGACGACGTGAGACATGTCATTTAATTGCCGAATATAATGATTGGCTTGTAATAAGGCTGTCTTCTGAATAATGTGATTAATTTACATTTTTTTTTTTTTTGTAAATTAGATTCCCTTACTACACGTCGAAGGTAGAGTGAAACTCTTGCTGACAGAGTATGAGTGACCATGAGCTAGTGACTAACAATTATCGAATATTCATTGGTCTATCACTACTAGCAAACCGTGGAAATAAAGACATGAACGAAACATTGTGGAGATTTCATAACAGACGTTACGGTTATTGGGGTTTTTATCAATCCAGTAAAAAGCCTGGAACAAACACTGATTAGGTTGCGTCAAGTTTGTCAGGAACCAAGACAAGTGTTTCCTGATGCGGGTCCTAGTCAAATGATGACCGTTGCTAGACTTTTGGTCATCTGACCGAGGCCTTCCACTGGCTTACCAATCCACTTCTTTAAAAAATATGGTTAATATAGCAACCATTAGGTGTACAAACACTGATTATCTAATTCAGGTGAGTTGGTGGGATCAAGTTCGTTAAGATCAAGTGTTCGTACATGAGTCATCTGTTCGTGTTGCGTTCGTGGAGTAGAGATGAATTAACAATGATCACAGTGTCAGAAACGGTGGCCTGATCAGGGCCACTGTTTCTGACACTGTGATCAGGGACACCGTGTCTGACATTGTGATCAGTGGCTCCCTTCAAACATTGCTCAACCTGGATACAGTGCTATATAAAATCAACAACAAGGCACCATCCGTTAAATTCATACAAGGACGAAGGTCCTTGCATGAATTTAACTGATGGTGGCCCATTCTAAGAAATTCTTCTAGGCAGACGTCTACATAGGCTGACCTTCAAGGTGCTCATAAAAACCACAAACAAGTAAGACGTCCTTCACTTCACTCACATCATGACCCAGACTGAGGCAGGGATAGTCATTGAAATTTTCCGCAAAGAGAACATGATTTCCAGCCCATAGTTTCTGGAAAAGGAATGTGACCACATTCTCCAAGTGCTTACATGCCTTCAGTTTCCTCCACAATTCATCTCTGGCTGCAGATGTTCCCACAGCATCATACACATGACTGCCTAAGAGCGATCACCAACTGCGTATGTTATGCTTCCAGCAGAGGAGGTATCAAACAACATTCGTGGATCACTAGATGAGTGTAGCCTCTGTCTCGTAGCCCACTATTAGGGAATTAGTGAAGAAAAGACAAGGCAGGATGATGGAAATCAGTGCAGGTGTATTTGTCATCCCATGCAGAATGGGACTAGGTATACTTATGTGAATGTTACAAAAAACGCGATTCTAAAAGCTTAGAGATCTCCAGTGATTACTAGAAAGGACTGTCCTTCTAGTATCCAGCCTGTTACTGGGTTTTTGTAACAAGTAGTCAGTATCCTTGTCCAATTATCCATTAGAATTCAGTATAATTCAATAGTGCTTCAGGATTACAACTGGTAGGCTACTAACTAGAGAAATTAAAATTTAATAAATTTATTAAGTATCGTCTAGAGGTATATCATCAAATTAAATTAAATTAATCAATTCAAACAAATTAATAATAATCACTTCTCTCGTATGCAATAGTATTGTGCTGAAAGCACATATCAATTTAAAATTCTTAAGTCCCGCTGGTACATTAACATTTAAAAAGGTTTTTTCAAATAGTACAAGTAAGTTTGTGTATGTGTTTAATGCTCTAAGTATTCGCTATTTCTCAAGACTCGACTAGACTTAAACAAGTGACTGACAAAGGCTCAAAAAAACTAAGTTTTGACCAATGGCAATCGAACAGTCTGCTTGAACAACAAAAAGAATGCTGCCCAATACAATATAAACAAGCAACTGCGACACAGACTCGGGAAAAAGGGATAATATAACACATAAGTGGGAAACCCATCACAACCCTCCACAAAGTCAAAAAACCCCATACTACGAATCAGCTCAGCAAAAGAAAAATCCCCGGAATGTATAATACAAAGATCCCAGTCAATTTAGGTCGAAGTACAGCTCGGGCCCTGATTTGCTCAAGTTCAAACGACACACAACCTCGTACAACGTCAAAAATCATAAGTCAACAATTTCTGTAAACAAGTATCACAGAACTAAAAGAAAATGAGACAGACATCTGTCCAACCACCAAAGAGTTAGATCAACTGAATATTCAGGCGAGGTGGGGGGACACCCCCCTCGATCACATGATAGCTCCGTGGGTCGCTGCCCAGAAGAACCCGGGGGAGGAAACGACAAAGAGCGATAATTACAGTAGTTAGACAATCAAGACTTAAAACTGGCACATAATAGTTCACCCCACCTAACAAAAGGAAGCTAAGTCAAATAATAATATAAAGAAATACACTTACGATTTAGCTTTTACGAAAATTTTAAAAATTTTAAAAATTATATGAAAAGGTAAATAATTTATTATATATAATATTAACATTGAACCCATTCGGGGGTTGAAACAGTGAACCCCCATAAGTCTAGACTGGAGTGGGGGAACCGTTTGGTACAGCGGACTATTTTATTAACATGCAAGGGCACTGTGAAATGGAAAGAACAAAGGAGGTTTTAAAGGAGGATCATCACTGGCGCAAGGTCTTTGTTTCAAGTGACCCAAATTGCTGTATCCAACACGGGGGCCCTAAACCCAAAAACTTACCCAAATAAGAGTTTTGCAACCCGATTGTACCCACCAAAAGATAAAAAAAGGGGTTACTCTTATAGGGCATCTGATCTCACAAGACAAAACTCCATCAAATACACCTGCCCTCATATTTCCGGGGGGGGGGGGGGTTGTGTTATGTGGGAAATGAGATGGCCTCCCAGAACCGTGGGAAAGGGTTATCGATCCACCGTAGAAAAAATTTGAGTCCATTTACAATAAAAAAAAAAAAATATTTGCCTTAAATAAATCATAGGAATGTATTTATGAACGTCTAGGCACTAAATATATAATATGTAATACAAAGAGTGGGAAAAAATTATTTAAAGTATTCTGTGTTTCTTTTCACATTGTAATTAGCAGTGGCAATGGTTTAACAAAGAGTTTAGAAGATGCAAATTGTTTTTTTAACCAAAAATGGGAATTTTGTTAAAAGTTTTTACAAAAAAATTTTTAAAGAGTTCGACAAGTAGTTTGAATGTAGATAGATGATAAACTGAGTCCAATAATATTTTTATCTGCTTCATTTTAAGTGACAGTTTCCCATATTTTTTCAGACAATTTTCGGCCTTTAAAAGAAAACACTTTTTCTGTGGGTTTTTCAAGAGTCTCTTAAATCATCTGAAAAGGGAATGTCCATTAGTGAAGCTGTAGCAAATTTTTGAGTTTCCCCAAAAAATTTTTTTCAAATATTCTTTCAAAAACCCCAAAGAACCCGGGATGAATTAAAAGAAAAGGCTTTAGGTCATTCAGGGGGAAAAATTTTAAACCCAAAAGTTGCCAAGTTGAGGATCCTGACAAACTTAACTCTACATAATGCCCAATTTCATTCCGATATATAAAAAAGGTATGAAAGGCACATTTAAAAAATTTAAAAATAATCTGCCTGGCCGAATGGATTTTTGCTATCTTTGAGCGTAATTGAAAGCATCTGGTACAAACACAGGTAAAATGTTGGAAAAAAGGAGCTCCTGTGTCTGGAAAAAAAAGAGGTGGATGCTTTTCGCTTACACTGAGCCAATGATGGAGTTCCCCCAAGTAAAAATCATATTTTTAGAAGAAAAAAAATATTAATGTTTTTAAAATGGTTATAAAAATAAACATTAGTTTTGGAATTTTTTGTTTTTTTAAATTTTAAATAAATGTAGGAGAGGGAAAGGTCCCTAGGGATGGCAGAGAGGGCATGCATAGTTCCTTTGTATAAAGGAAAGGAGATAAAAGAGGTACAAAATTATGGGGGAAAAGTCTTTTTGAGTATCCTGGTAAAGTGTTGGAGAGTTATTATTGAAAAAATTTAAAGAGAAAGAGGGAGAATAGGATACAGATAAAACAAGGAGGCTTTGGGGAAAGGTAGGGGATGGTGGCCAGGTTTTTTACAGTGAAAAACATATAGGTAAAAATTTTTGACAAGGGTTAAAGAGGGTTTGTGGCTTTAAATTTGATTTGGAAAAGGCGTATGCAGGGTGGTAAGGGGGGAAATGGGGCAGATGTTTAAAAATGCATTGAATAAGAGGTGGGTTTAATTGAAAGCAGTGAAGAGTTTTACAGGATAGTGGGCTAGGAGGTATGAAAGAGAGAAGGAGATTTTTTTCCCAGTCAATTTGGGCCCTTAGAAAAGCGTGTGATGTCACCGTGGTTGTTTAATTTATTTAAAGGAGTTGTAAAAAAAAGTGAGCTGGGGTGTTGGCAAGAGGGGGGGTTAAAAGATAAGATTAACCAAATAAGGTTGTCAAGTTGCCTTTGGATGACACGTGTTTTTGGGGAGTTTCTGAAGAAAATTGCAGAGGTTGGGGGAGTTTGGTGGGGTATGAAAAAGTAGGAGTAAAAAATTTAATATGGGAAAGAGTAAGGTGATGAGGTAACGGAAGACTGGATATCAGATTGAAGGGAGAGGTATGGGGGAGAGAATGTTTGGATATTTGGGGAAGTGGACGTGAAAGGAGGGGGTCTAGGGGAAGATGGGTGAATCAAAAGAACTGACGAGAGGAAAAATGGGTGGTGCAATGAGGAGACCGTGGAGACAAAAAATTTTGCATGGATTAATGAGGGAATTTTGAGAGTATTTAAACCCAACCTTTTTTAACGATGTGAAGCTGGAGGTAAATTTTGCAACAAGGAGAAAGGCTGAAGGCAGGGAGATGTCGTGTCTGCGGGCAAGTGTGGTGGAAAAAAAATGCAGATTTGTATTTTTGGAAATTAGGGGGAAATGGGGGTTTCCCAAAAAACTATTATCCAGAGGCGGGGGGGTTTTTGGGG